CCTGCCTTGGGCTGTAAGCAGATGCAAGCAAATTGAGCTGGGGGACCTCCTGCTTTCCCCTTTTATGAATTTTGTGTATCTGAGGGAGAACGACACGGGACGCTGGAGGCTGTAAAACACCTGTGCAACGCTTCTAGAAAAACATCGCAGCAACACGGTGAGTCCTCTTTCATACCTCCGGGGCCTGAACGCCTCCAAGCGGTCAGGTTTTTTGTCAGGAAATCTGAGACGTCTTTAGGCCATGGTAGCTAGGCGAACGACCCGCTTCCCGCCTCAGGTCATTAATGCACACCCAACACGGCCGAGAGCGGGCCCCCGGCCCGTCCCGCCGTCGCCGTTTCCGCTTACCGTCATCGCAGCAACGGTGGCACGAGTGTTGACTGTGGAAGGAGGGCGGGGGGGGGGCGGGGGGATGGGGAGATTCAATCAGAGCTACTTGAGAGCCCTCTGCGCTGGTGGTGCAGAGGCGCTGCGTTGGACCCTGGCAACAGGGTCCCGAAGGGCAGCTCTGAGGTCGACTCGTGGCTACTCTGTGCCGGAGACAGGAGGGAGCTGCCGAAGGTGGCCGGGGAGGAGGAGGAGGCCGGACAGGGCGGGAGTGGAGCTCGACCCAAGAGGACACGCGCTGTAGCCGGCAGGTGGGCCTGGGATCGGGTCGAGGGCGCTGCCTTTGAAGTGTGGTAAATCTTATCTGCTAACAGCCGGCGTTCTTGGCCCAGGGCGAGGGGAGGGGGATCGTAGGAGCCACTCGACAAACTGAGCTTGCCTTCCTTGACACGATGCGGGAAAAACAGCATGTGAATAGGCTTCGTAGGTTTTTTTGTCGTTTTGTTGGTATCAGTCCGGTTGTTAACGTTTCAGTAATGGTTTACGGGCATACTGTGAGGGTCATAGGCGAGTCGCCTCAAAATAATCCCACCAGGAGATAATCAAATCACCACAGGAATATGGAAGGCTCACTGCGGCTGGTGTCAGCCTGCGTCACATTGTCCTAAACTCCCTAGAAAAGTTTGTGCGTGGCAGTTTATACGATTTAACTTGGTAGCCACCACAGCGGTGTGCGTTGAAGTTAAGCTGGACCAAAACAGGGGTCAGGTAGGCTAACGGCATACATTAATGAGGTTACACAGTACTACACTAACCTAACCCATCTTTATAGGTATACACGCTAAGATGTGGTTATTTTGCACCACTTGATGAACAAAATACTATTGGGTTTGGGGTTAGGGTCAGGGGTTAGGGCAAGTACTTCTCATCTACTCAAAGTACGACCGTCCATACCCCATAGTCTTTCTTTTGCACGCAACTACTTGGCCTCGTCGCCTGTGCGTTCCCCGGCCTCCCTGTAAAAACCCCTATTACCACCGGTCTCGTATTACTAGTGGCTGGGGTTTGTTAACTTCAGGTGGGGCTACATAACCACATCTAACCGTGTACACACTTCCGAGCATATACTGGGCGAGCTTTGCCTGGTAGGTGTGGTTTATTCTAAAAATCTGTCATCATTTCGCACTTCGTCTGCTCGAGGATGCGCCTATTATTGCATGAATAAATGAGATTTAGGAGCGCTCACTGGGGGAGTACATTGTGTTGGAATGAGATGTAACTCTGAGGGCCTGAAGCAGGTGCAGTAAGCGGCTCCTAACTGGCACCCAGTTGTCATTTGTGGCTCTCAAGGCTTACTGGCCACACCCCGGTGGCCGGCGGGTTAACGTTGATAAGGGTTTTCATCGGGTGTTCCTATGTTTTACTCCTAAAATGGGCCACACGGTAGATGCACTGGATCAACACAAGGGGAAGCCTAGATAGTGGTTCCACAGGCGTTATCGGGAATGCGCACCCATAAAAAGTGTCAACACTGGGGGTGTTGCTAGTTTACTCAACGCCCTTTGGGATCCGTGTTGTCTCCTATTACTGTTGTGGTATAAAATCCTGGTCAAGTGCAGGCTGTGGACCAGGAGGTGGCGGTGGCACGCTTAGGTTCGAGTTTAAACCGTGACTGTGTCTCGACAGCCGATCCAGGTGGGTGAGGAGGAGGAGATGTGATGGACCAACACGGGGGCCATATCGGAGTCTAGCAGGCGTTATCGGATTGTGCACCCCATAACAAACGCCAGTATTTCGGGGTGCGGTAGCAGACCCGGTTGTCGACAACCGTCGCGTACACTGGGACCCCTAAGCGCCATTGTTGTTTGTTGATCAAAAACTTGGCCATTTGCTGTGTGGATCAGGGGGTGTGCAGTGGAACGTCAAGGTGCGGGTTCGACATTGCTATCCGCCTGCGCTCTCCCGCGTCTCCGGTCTTCTTGACTCTGTCTTAATAGTGGGCCCAGGTGGGCTGGGAGGAGAGAGTGCGACAGATGCTGTGAAAGTCTGTCATCGTTATAAACTAAACTACGCGCAAGTCATCATCCCTACTCTTCTGTGGAGCACACGGTGGTAATCGTCAAAATCCACGGTCAAACTGTCCACAATCCGAGTTGTTTTGTGCTCTACCCCATTCTAACTCCGCCAAATATCCCGTAGATGACCCAATTTTCTTTTGTTCCTCTTCCCTCTAAATAAAGGTTGTGTGCCAAATTGGAATTCAGTAGCCACTTGGGATGATTGTCTGTGGTTACTTAGATGCCCACGCCAACACAAATCATTCTGCGTGGGCGGGGGTTCCGAGTCCCCACGGCATCAGCGCCTGCTACAACAATGGTCTTCCCCTCCTGAGCAATGCCGTCATTTATCCTCCGATGCGCAAGAAAACGACGTAGTAGACACACCCTCAGTGGCCTCGCTGACATCTGCTGGACTACGTCGTCGTTCATTGGCATGGTAAGCGTAACTTGATGGTGACAAAGGCGATTTGCGATGCTAACTGTTGAAGCTGTAAACACAAACGTAACCGACTTGAAGGCGAGGGACCGTCAGGAAAGTTAAATATCATCCTATTCAATTTAGCTAACCGATGGTTGGATTCAAGCAGTCTTTCAAATTCCCGCCTGGGAAAAATTCCAGCTCCGGGAGCCAACACCATTCTGGAGTTGCAGTGGAATCGCTTGTGGAACCTCATCAGCTCCACTGCCCCGAACGTCCCTGGCCGCGTGGGTCGTCAGAATAAAGACGGGCTTGGTGGGAACGACAGAGAAATCTGAAACCTGCCACAAACAGCCTACACCAACCGCAGGATCGTCGCCAACAAAGCGACCGCTTCCAGATGTCGACGCCTAGTGTGTCAGCGGCTGAGGGAGGCGCGGAATTCCTGGATGAATTGCACGGCAGAAGAATTACAAAGATACGCGCACCGCAACGAAATGAAAAACGTCTTCACGTCAATCAAAGCGGTCGCAGTCCCATCACCAAACGAAATGCAACGTTGCAGAGGAAAAAAAGTACTTCCTTTAGCGAAATCACGTATTCTGAAGCATCGGGCCGAGCACTTCAGAGGCGTTCTCGATCGGCCACCCGACAGTTGGACCGTCGATTCGGACGATGGCCACCGTGTGCTCCACTGCAAGGTGCAGCAGGCACGGTGACTTGTGCGTGGATTGGTTTATAATGATAGTAAACTTGCTCAGCATCTACTGCACCATCTCCTCCTCACCCACCTGGGCCCGTTGTCAAGACAGAGTCAAGAAGACTGTAGGCGGGGGGAGGGTGCAGGCGGCTGGCACGACCGGACGCGCACCCAGCCGTACCACCACACCCCCCGGTCCACAACATAAACCTGACTAGGATTTTTTGCCAACAACAACTACAACACCCAGACAGGTGTCGGAAGGACGAGGATGATGACTGGGCAGCCATGCCCACCCCCTGTATACCCAGTAGGAGCTCAAGAGCATCTACCGGTAGAGAATCAGGTGTCAGAGAACTGCCAGCGCATGCGAGGCTGTGAGGTCCATGGTTTGCTGATGGTGGCATAGCACACGCTTCATATTAGAGAAGTCACGCATTCTGGAGCATTGGGCCGAGCACTTCAGAAGCGTTCTCGATCGTACATCTACAATCTCCGACATTGGCAGGCCCTCTCAAGTGGAAATCAGGACTGACCTCGACCGCCCGCCGTGGCTGCAGGTCACACTCAAGGCTGCGTATCAGAAGTCCGTTGGCAAAGCATTGGGCGTGGACTCATCTCCTGCCTAATTCCCTCTCCAGGGATAGGTGGCGACAAGAACAAGCCCATAACAACTCCAAGGGTGAGACCATCGTTCACAGTTACAAGTGCAAGTGGAACCAACAACTCTGTGATAGCCACAGAGGCTTCTGCCTCCTCGACATCGTCCCTGCCCTCGTCAGTCACTTGAACACGCACCTGGGTCGGCGACCTCGCCCCGATAAACAGTGCGGATGCTGGAAACACCGTAGTTCCACGCGCATGATCTTCACATCCCGTCGTGTGCATCACAAGTGCCACGCCAGAGGAGCAGTCCTTGCAGTACCCTAGTAGATTCAACAAAGGCTTTCGACAAAATCGACCGCGAAGGACTTTGAATGTTTGAAACATTTTACATAAATGGTACTTGTACTTACTTGTACTTTATACGACTGCAATCATGCCTGATCTAGCCGGCCTCGATGATGTCACGAACTGTACCTCTCCACGCGTGACGATCCGCGGCAGCAGATCTGGACAGCTAAACCCATTCCCTTCGCCAACGACGGAGACCGAATACCGAAGGTCCAAGAACCACCTCCATGTCTTGACGAACTGTGTCGAGTCAGGTTTTGAACTGACCCCTTCTTCGACGCCTGCAATGGGGCAACGGTGTCGGGTCGAGGGTAGTAACACTGAGCTCCTAAGGTGGACGACGAAGAACATGCCCGAACCACCTCAGTCGTCTTTCTTTGATGGCCTGAGTTATCCTCGAGATGTTGTCGCAGCGAGCAGGGACTGTCTCATTTGAGACGAAGTTGGTGAACTTTACTTGAAGGATGGTCCTCAAGCAGTGGTGGTAAAATACCTCCAGTTTCCGTTCGCAAAGCCCAGCATTCACAACCGTAGAGAAGGACAGACCGGACAGATGCACGGTATACGCGAATCTTTGTGGCGATGGAGAGGCCACGTCGGTTCCACAGGCATTTCCGAAGGCTTGAAAAAACCCAGCGGGCGGCATCGATGCGGGAGACAATGTCGTCTTTACTCTGTCCATTAGGCAGCAGCCTCGCCCAAGGTATTTAAAACTGTCTACTTCTTCAAGTTGACAGCCATCAATCAGGAGGGGTGCCTTCTCCTGGTCAGGGATGCAGCTGGAGAACACTTTGGTCTTCCCAGCGTTTATGGACAAACCGACCGATTTAGTGACCTCATTCAGCCGTGACACCATAAACTACAGATCACCAAAACTTGAAGCAAGTAAGGCGATATCATCGGCATAGTCGAGATCAATCAGTCGATGTCCGGGTACATAAATGGTGCGACGAATTCATGCCGGAATGATGGTTAGCTAACAGACAAAAGTGCTGTCTTGGAAGAACTGGCGGTAACCAACTGTGTGGAACAGAGCTCTGTACTCGCTCCCGCTGTCTTCGCTTTCATGCTCGTCTCCGTGATGCCGAACGCTTGCCGTGAGGGACTATCAGACATCGGCATCGACTACCGGACCGATAGACAACCGTTCAACATCCGACGCACGCATGCAGGTCCAAAAGTACCCAAGACCAGCGTCTGTGGCCGATTATTCGTCGGCGAATGCCCGCTCAACATCACGGTGGATACGAACATGCAAAGGAGCATAAACCCCTTGGTTTCCGGTTGCACAAATTTCGAACAGACCGCAAACCCGGACAAGACGGTGATCATGCAGCCGTCGGTGTCAAATGCTGAATGCAATCAACCCCTTATTTAGTGTCAGTAGAACTCAGCTCGCAACAGCGGAGAAGTTAGTGTACCTTGGAAGTAGAACTTCAAGGGATATCAAGATCGTCGACTGAATTGTCCATCGGACCTTCAAAGCCAACCAGGCCTCCGACGGGCTGCAGGGTTCAGTTTGGAATCGTTTCGACCGCCGCCTAAACAGGAAACACCAGAAGTTTCGATCGGTTGTCCTGACAAATTTTCTGTATTTGTTAAGATGCAGACGATCTACGAAAACAAAGCGAGGAAGTCCTACTCCTTCTATCTCAGCCGCCCAGGGGAATGCCAAATCTGATTTGGCCGGGTAGGATCCCCGACACGGAAGTTCTGGAGCGGACCGGGATCTTTCGCATCCACGAGCTGCTGTGATAACTACAACTTCCTGCAAAAGGCATTTAAGCCTTCCACAACATTGTTGGTATGGCTTCTGAACTCTAATCCGGCCTACGTATAGCCTTTTTGAATACCCTCGAACAGAGTCATGGCGGATTAAAACCACCATCTTCTAACATGGCGCCCGGTTATAGGAAGGGAAGCATTGAACGCCTGTTTAATAAGCAAATATTGTCAGCTGCGTGATATTATTATCTCACAACAGAGCTCAGTTTAAGGAAAAAGCATTGAAGTAAGTTTTCACATTCTTCTGCCTTTTTATAAAATAATACTGTACAAAATTGTTCTCAGAATCAACACACCTCCTTATGGTTTCTCAGTTTACGATATTGCCAGCATAGCTAGTTCTTCCTAAGGCTTCTTTTTCGCATTATCAGCATCAACACTCATGTCGAACTTCACCTCCTTAGTGTTCAAAATTTTTGAAAACAGTAACACATCACTGTCATGAGAGTCGGAAACCTCCGTATCCTGCAACTTGCTGAGCATTTCCATTCTCTGCAGGTGCATGACTCGACTCAAAAAGCCAGCATTCTCGTCATTCCTGTCGGGCGTCTCCCCATTCAGAACACGACTTTTCAACAGAGTCTCACCGTCCTCCCTGTTCCGAAATGTGGACGACTTTCGTCTAGTCCAGGGTGACTTGCAGTTCCATCGTTGAAGGAGCCCATCTACAGGATCCATGTAACTCGATTGGTACTCAGGGTACCGGTTCTTCAAAGACGGTTTCGCGGAGGCCTGATGGAATTGCGAGTCAAGGGCTTGTGGAGGAATGCGAAAGACTAGGCGCGTGGACCAGACGTAGACGGCGGCCAACTTAACCGGTTCTGGCGCGTCACCCTTTGTCTCCAGTTTCAAACCTTCTCGCAGTTCCTTCAGGAAGGAACGTGGAATAGACTTGAAGAAATTCCAGACGTCAGCGCGTGCGGTATAGGCAGCATTACAGACTTGAGGAGGGTTCATGCCCGCCTGTCGAATCATGTGCGAGGTCACTGAGAGCCCAAACAACTGCTTTGTCGTCAGTTCTGTGGAGAGGAGATGGTAGGCTACCTGTGCATCGTAGACGGAAGGAAGCATGCCAGCCTGGTAGGTCTGTCCACATGGTCTGGGACCTTCATTTTTGAGCTGTCCCCTCAGCCAGGCCTCTAACTTGTTCCTGTAGTGGACGTACTTTTTCCCTGGTAAATATACTGATGATAAATCCAACTCATTTGACCTTGAAGATGTCGGGGGTTTTCTCGCGGATGCGGACTTTGGAGATGCTTCCTCGGGCGCCGAGGTAGGCAGACACACAGGAGCGATTTTATTGGCTGCCGATGCTGTTTTAGGGTATTCAAACCGGCGACGCGTTCGAACTGGCGCAAGGGGCATTGGGGAGGGGGTGGAAAGTCGCAACTTTAAGTCCTCCACGCTGCCATCACCCTCACCGCCTCCATTATCACGCTGCGCTGGCAGCACCTCGCCACCGATTCCTGCCGTCCCACCTACCTTGACGCTGGTGGAGGTGGGAGTTATGTCACTGATGGAGTCATTTTCTGCAAGTCCAACCTCCGAGTCAACAGCAGCTAGCGTCAGATGGGTCTCCTTTGGTGGTCGCTTTGCGCCATCCGAATTCCCCTGATGACAGAAGAGACGCCGCAAACGAGTCAACATCGATTTAGCGTGTGGGTTATCGACCGACCAAATTAAATGCCGCGGGAGCACGTCTAGCGCGCACTCGCCCAAAGTTAAGAGAAGGCTGCTCCGGTTACGTCGTGTATCCAACCAGGATTATTTACCGGCACCCCCTTGAGGCATTAAGGTGTGAGGACTTTGAGGGAAAAAGGCGTGAAAGGAGCGTTTGAAATACCTACGTTAGAGGGACTAAGGATGTTATCGAGAAGGCCATGTGGCAAGCGATAGAATGTCGGCTGGCTAAGTCAGCCTTAACAGTGACTAACCTCGAATGGTTGGGGTATGGCTTTATACAGTCTGAATGATGAAGTCCAGGTCAAGTAGTCGGCGGTTAAGCGGATCCCAATTGACGGCGCAAACAAAATATACGCTGGAAGCCATGTAACTCACGGGAATAATTAAAGAAGTCTTATAGTAGAAACCCCTTTACGTAGATTTACAGAATTAATTGACATGAGTCATGGCACGGAAGCCCTTCATTCAAGATATAATTAAGCGGTTATGCGATCTTAATGAGAGGGGTAATTACTTCAATAAGATCTATTGTAACCCGATCTTATGCCTGTAGGTAAGCCAGTATCTCGTAAAGATTGTTGGCAAATCTCACATCCTGCAGTCAGTTTGAAGTCGCCTACTCAACAACCCATAATTATTTTTCAAAATACGTACTACCATGTGAATTCGAGTACTTATTTTTAGTCACATATGAAGACAGAACAGTTTTGTGCATTTACAGCACAAGATTACAGCTTTTTATCAATTTGGACATAGTAAACGGGGAAATTCCATGGTAGCCAGAAAGTGCATGCTGGTATCGTTTATATTTAATCGGCAATTTTCGAACCATTAGATGACATAAGCTAAAAAGAGGATAAATTACTTAAAGAGCCAACAAATTTTGAATGTATGGGTAGCACGATATACCACACTTGATAACACAAGTACCAACTAAGAGCCCAGACACGTGTGTCGCCAATATTCTGCCGCTGTATGATAAATATGCGAGGGGTCCAGCTAATCAATGGGTCCCCCAGCTTTCCCTGTATGTTTTTCTGGTAGATACTCCAGTTTTGAAACTGTGACTTTTTAATTTCCAAACATTCATATCAAATGTCAGTCAGGGCCCGTAAGTTTCGCATAGACTGGTATACTCCAATTTAGCGATTGATTGCCAAGGGAATTAAACAGCCACAAGTGTTAAACGAATCAACACACTGCTAAGAGGGATTTATTCTAAGTTGCAATGCTAATTTCCGCAGAAATTAAAAATCTGACGTTGAGTACGATAAAAGCATCCAGCTTCCGGAGAAATGCCCAAACTGTCATCGGCAGTCGCGTTTATTCCGGGATTTCTCAGAGGGGTTGTTTTGCGTCCTCCTTTGCTAAATAAATTATGGTTTAGAACTCAAATGTGGGCGCTGGACAGAGGACCATGCAATTAATAACAGCGGGTATTAATTTTCATAAGGCCATGCATAGCCACGAGAACCTGGCCATATAATATACTCACACTGCAACTTTACAGTCCTTCTTCTAGAACCCAGTCACTCGCTGTCGTGCTAGGCCTTAACTTTAAAGCAAGTCCATTAAACCTAAGATTTGGAGGGAAGCTTTTGAAGCTTTCAGCAACACAACCGTTTATCTAGCATTCTCTCGATTCGTGCATTCTCTCCTCTACCCATTACTGCTCTAATACCTTGTCCTGGTTTGCGAGAAAGCAACAACTGTAGGTCCTCTCTATCTCCCCCTCTTTTCCTTTTTCTCCTCCAGCCTGCCAGATGACTGTCCGCCCGTTTCCGCCGACTGTTAACGAGATTTGAAAATCTCCGTCTATGTATACGAAGGGCACATACCATAGTAGTTAAGGCCTTGCCTAGACCTAACACTTGGCTCATCCAAACCACTCCATGAACCAGCGTTGTTGTTCTCTGTCTCTGTGCAACAACTGCCATTTCGTGGGCGGAGAGGGAGTAGTTCGAGGCCAATGAAACCGTTTTTTTAGTGAAAACTCTGTTTAGCCACCAGACAACCGAGGCCATCCCAAGTACTCGGCAGATTAGCAAACAAAGTTATATAGACACTTCGACAAACGAACCCTCTAGGGTTGTGACGGTAGTATGGCACGTTCTGATACTGATTCCATTTTATGTAAACCTAAACCGACGTTGTCTTCTGAAGAAGATCGTGATGTGAACAAGTTGCAAAAAGCGTTTGGGAAATACACAAAATGAAATAGCGCAAATGATCTTGGGTTGCCGTGGTATGTTGGTTGAATCTGATAGTCTTTAAACACAAGAGAGTTCATGGAATCCCCATGCTACAGTGACCGTCAGTGGTAAAGAATTTGATTCCTCTACAAATTACTTGTCAGAACACGGCCTTAAACATGTCTACTCCAGATATTGTCTTCAAAAACTGCTCTGAATAAATTCTTTACTTATACGCGGGAATGTCTGCAAATTTTTGCCTGAGTGCACTTGATGCAAAGTAATGTTACAAAGAGCTCAGAGACACACGGATTCCCTGTAATCCTGCCGAGGGACGTAACTTCATGTAGCAGCAGGCTATCCGCTTTATTAAACAATACGATCTACTTACAACTTTAAGTAGATATAGCAGGAATGCTATCAGGCCCAGCAACAGCATCAGTAACTTGCCCGACAAAATTCTAGACTGCCAAATAAGTCTGGTGGGTAACTGCAGCGTTCTTCTTGTTCAATTTAAACGTCCCTATATGCCCTTGGATCAACAACTTCCCAAGCTTAATAAAATAAATGAGACTAATTTTCATGGACATTAGTAGTGCGGTTCAGGCTAGTGATGGAAACGCTTTTTTGCGAACATTCTCATGTTACTCCTCAAAGGTTAGCCGGCAAACGTGTGTTTTCGGTAATTAATCATCAGACCGCTACAATTATATGGAGAATGAACATGCGAACCATAGATAGGATTTATAAATGACCGGGGGGGGGGAGGTGAGGTAGTAACGTTCTTCGTTCTCATACCGGCTTCGTCATGCGGGTGGCGTGGGAGCGAGGTGCCAGAAGTCAAAATTCTCTGATTCGCCTTTGGTTGCAGACAAGGAAGTTATGCTGAAGGGCATCGTAATTTAATCAGAAGCATATTAATTTCTGGCATGTAAGGGAAATCAGTAGCCAGCTGACTGGGCCAATCAACTTTTGTTCATACCCCAGAACTAGCCCCCCACAAAGACAAAACAGTAGTCGTTTTCGCATCCGTGCCATCCTTAGTCGGGCCTAACACAAACCCACGTCGAGGTATTATATGTGAGCCGGGGTTCCGCTTTTCACTGCTCAGCCAACTGCCGCCGGAAAGATTCGAAGTTAGTGGGGGGGGGGGGGGGAAGAATGGCTGGTATTGATTTGATCTACTTGAACGACGGAGCCCGATCGCCAGCCCATATTGCAGATCAGAGTTCAAAGGTGGACAGAGCTTATTCCTTTCGAAAGTCAGTCCAGATCGGTGAACGTCATGAACACCTGCGTGTGGAATCATGTATCGCGAAGCGGTGGGGGGCGGGGGACATGTGCTTATGAGATTCACCTAGAGTAACAAAACACAGGTTTTTTCCGATAATCTACCGTTAATCTACATCACATATGACCTTGACGTGCCTTGTTTGAGGATCTAGTCTAAAACCTGAATGATTTAAGCAAATCCAACCTTGTTTCGGTTTTGTAAATATGCAGACAAACCACCAGGTGGACCCGCTTCTTTTATTAGGAGCGATTGGATTTTTATATAGTGGTTCAGATCGTTAGTTGTCTTAATTGTAAACACTTGGCTTGACTAAAATGTAAGGTGAACTACACATACTCCCACGAAATGGTTATTTTCGGGACGAATTTTCACAGAAGGCGTGGTTGAAGGTCTCAGCAGTGAAATGATATTAACCAACAGGAGTAGTTTGGCATTTTGTGACACGTTGTCAGAGAAGGCGGCTGACTCGAACAACCAGTTTAGACTTGTTTAGCAGGTTTCAAAATGGCGATGGGACGAATGCGGTAGCAAATTCAGAAACTTTCGAAACTGTGACTGACCTCATAGAAGCCTCCGGGATCTGCTACCAGATGGTAATTGGCGAAATAAAGGAATTGGAGGGAACATAAGGTATTTGTGTTAGAATAATGTCATCGTGGAATGAGTCTCCTTCCACTTGAATTAGAAACAAATTCAAAGCAAAAGGTGACTCTCTCTCTCCCTGGACTTGCTGGAAAGGTTGCAGATGGGTGCAGATAATGTAAGAATAAAGATATCGGGTGAAATTTAAAGTTCACGTTTTTTAGTATTTTAAAATTGAAGACGTTTCAATTGAACTCCTACGGTTCTCCGGACCTTAACAACGGAATCAGGCGAGGACACATGTGACGGCAGTGTTCATGATGTTGATCCTTTTCTTCTTCTTCTTCTTCTTCTTCTTCTTCTTCTTCTTCTTCTCCTTCTTCTCCTTTTTATCCTACACATCTTCGTCGCCATTATCAAAATTATAAACAATAACAGCAGAATCCTATGTAGGACGGCTGGCGTTAACCTCATCCGTCCCTCTTCATCAACCTGCGTTGGTGTAAGGCTCCCCCCCCTTATTGCCAGCAAACAAACAGAGAGATATTCTGGTCCCCTTATTTTGTTGACGCCCCCTCTCGGTCGCCAGAAATAGCTAGGAAGGTAGTGTATTTTTCATTCATATAGACCACAAAGTTAGATCAGGATTACTCGAAATATTGGCGAAATACCCTCATCTAGCAGACATTTCGTAAAATGAGCCTAAAATTTAAAAGGAGTAGAAGTGGGCCAGGTGAAAAGTTCAGAAAACTGCAGATCTTCAGAAACCCTGCGCGCATCTTTACTTGTTCCCGATGCTACAAAAACCCTCGCTGCAGGCCTATGAAAACGAAGTGGCAGTTGCCTTCAACATGTGGGAGTATCGCTTACCGAACCAGCCAGACTACAAGGCGTTG